GGGTGTGGCCGTTTAGACACATTTCGTGGGTGGCGCAACCTCCCTTTTATGGTCGAGCGCCTACTTTTCTTGTAGAGTGAATAGGACTATAAATCCAGGTCGAAGAAGCTACTCGTCTTCGACAGCAGCACATTCGATCACCTGAACCATCAACCCGACAACCCCGTCCATTGACCGTGCTCACCCTCTGTAGCAGTTCTGAGGCAATAGCCTGCCGCTTTTCCCTCCCTTTAAGGTAACCCTATTTACCACCCTTTTACCCTTCACTAAAATCCCCTCCGGACCGCCCCCTTTCGGTTGGTCTCCCGACAACGTTCTGTGCTCGATTTTCGTCAATCGGTGTGATTGAGGGAAAGGGATTCGGAAGGGCACGTAGTGCAGTAGTTTGTGGGCAGAGGTTGGGAAGCTCGAGTGGAGTTGCCGGCAGCCGGAGCCAGATATTGACGATGGCGGGATATCATGAACCTGGGATTAGTATTTTGGCGGGAGGAGCTCAGGGCGTCGTGGACAGGTGTGGTATCTGTCTTGTCTGCATATGCTTCGTCGCTGCACAGCCGTGCCGCGCGACAGGATCTGCCACAGATGATGCCGAAGCAACCGCAAAAGTTAGACAAGTAGAAGTTTCTAAATAGCGTTCCTCTCCAATGGCCCCCCGCCTGTCAAGAAGAAGAAACACATCGCTCTTTCGACTGAGAACCTTTCAATCCTTGTGGTGAGCTACAATATTCGGTTCAGTGAGTATTCGCACAGGTGCACGTGATCCGTCGGGCGGCACAATGTTGTACCAGACTTGCGTTTGTTGCGGACAGGCACCCTGCTGGAGGTCAGTCCGCAAAACCGGTGGCGAAAATTTTCAATCTCGGGTTTATATTACAGTGCGCGAAACTGCAATAAATACACCCGTCGACAAGGATCAATCTAACACTTCGTGACCAGTCCTTCCACAAACAGCCACGAATGCGAGTCTGACACGCGCCAATAATAACGCATATCAATCAAGAATATAGATACAGCGCACCACTCTCGAGATATCTTTAAAAACCCGAGCGCAATTGTTATAAATACGCGAAATATGATATGACACAAAACAGAAAGGAGCATTTAATATTTTGTTGCATCACCCCGTGCATCCATGACAGCATGCATACGACGGGGTAGGCTCTTGTACAGCTTTAAAAGAAGGTCCGACCCCACTGTAGACCAAGCCTCTTCAATGGCATCCTTTAACTCTCTAACATTCTGATGTCTGCCTCTTGCGTACACCATTCTAGCCATGACTCCCCAGACATTTTCGATAATAATCATGTCTGGGGACTTAGGAGGCCACGGTAGAGTCCTTATAGAATGGCCAGAGAGCCAAGTTCTTGAAAAATTTGAAGTATGAATCGGGGCATTGTCCTGCTGGAACACCCAACCCTGCCATTCCCCAAATAGCTCTGAGCTAAATGGCAGTAAACCGTGGCGCAAAACATCACCATACTTAGTAAAATCCCGTCTTCCATCCATAAAACAATAGGAGAAACACCATATAAACTAATAGCACCCCACACCATAACCGAAACTCCCCCATTCTGCCGCTTAGAAAAATTCGCTCTTTGGTGCGGAGATCATGCCAGTACGAGGCAAAACCATCAGGACCATCACCATTGAACTTTTCCTCATCGCTAAAGGCCACAATATTCCAAAACTCTTAACCCTTGCTTATTAATCTACGGCACCACTTGACCCTATTATCTTTATGCTGAGGGGTCATCTGTGGTGCCGTAATCATTTTTCTATACTTGAAATAGGGCACAGCGCGCAGTATTTTTTGGACGCGTCTGTGCCCAATCGGTAGTTTGAGCTCAGCCTGAATACCTCTCGCGCTTTCCTCTCCTTTTAAAGCCATCCTGATTATAGCCCTCCTCTGCGTCTCTGAGATCTTCTGATTTCCTTTCCAGTGTTTAGGATGTTTGTGTTTAAACCCCAGCCTAACTACACTCTGTACGGCTCCTACGGAGCGATTGACAGCTTCCGCAATGCTCCTGAATGAAATTCATTCCTTGTGGAGAGCCAAGATCTGGCCACGCTCAAGATCGGTTATTGCGGGGCCCCGAGGCATTTCTTCTTTGTTCTGGATAGTTGAGTTGTATTGATACTGTAAAGGAGCCGTTGCAGTTTACGTTGGGATGTTTTGAGGCTTATATAGCGCTTTACGGTCCTGTTTTGGCGCCCTAAAGGTACTGTGCTTTATAGTATTTCGCGTATGTATGCCAGTTTCGCGCGTCTTTACGGAGCTAACTCCAAAACCGTGTCCACGTACAACCGGCGGGCTCTACAAATGTTTATTCCTTGATGTCCTGGTACTGTAAAGGGGGGTGCCCTTTGTTTCGGACAGGTTGTAAAAAATTTAAATAAAAACATCTTCATCAGGTCAGATTGGGATTTTTGCACCGTCAAAAGAAAGCTCTCGTTCTGTTCCACCAGCTCCATCAGCCAGTCAATGCGTGGCGGCGGCGGAAAGTACGGGAAAACAGCGCAAACGCGAGTCCGCGACCACAACCGACGGCGTGCAAACGGCACGAGATGATCGGACACACACGGTCCATCTCTTAAAAAATCACAATTTTATTTGAGGTTTTTGGAATGCCACGTCACAGATGCAACCACATCCTCAGGCTCTTTTCTTCTGCAACGCTTTACGCCGCGCCACGGCACGCCGCATGTTCATGGACCGAGCTCTTCCCTTCAACACAGACACCGATAAACCAGCTAGCGCCGCACGCCGGCTCCACCGGTAGGCGTGGAACTCCTCTCCTTCCAGTACATGCTTTTTGTCATGGGCAGCAGCCTTCTCTGCCACTGCAGCAGCCTTTAGTTCGCGCTGTAGACGTTTAGCCGCATCTGATTTCATCTTCTCCCTCGCCAAATACAGGGCCCTTTCTGACGTTAAAACAGCCCCTTTAGACGTGTCGATAAATCCGCAGTCTGATACTGTAGCGTCCTCACCCAACACCGCGTGCCGCATTTCTGTGCGTTTTAATTCAAGCAAATGTTCCAACTCCGAAACTGGCACCAACGTGTCCGCGACATTTGAGCGTTGAGGGCAGGGCATTCCAAGCAGCTGGTTTGCGTCAAACGGCAAAATTCCAGCCCTTCTAAAGCCCGTTGTGATGTTGTGAGCGGTAAAGGCCTTTCTAAAAGCATGTGTCAACATACTGCAAAACGAAAAGGCGTCCCAATCGTTCGAGTAAGATTTAGAAACAGACAAGTTCACAGCTTCATTCAGTGCATTTTTAAACGACGAAAACACAGTGACGTCTAGCGGTTGTGTTTTGCCAGAGGTGTGCGGGGGGAGGGCATACACAATCACCCCATGTGCATTGAGCATCTCTAGCGCTCTTACCGACATGTGGCATCGGTATCCATCTAAAATTAGTAGTACTTTTCGGTTGTTGGATGTTAGGTCCGCCACATGCTTGACAAAATGAGTACACCAAACATAAAAATTACCACTGTCAACCCCTCCTCCTGCTGGGCCCATTCCGAACACGGAATGCCTTGGCAAGTAGTCAGAAAATGTCTCTGTAACCCATTCTCCATTTCGTTCTACCACACGATAAGGCACTATTACACCTTTGAAAACAAATAGTGGCGGAGAAACATGTCCTGACGCAGAAACCGCCGGGAGAATTGTGACACGGTTTTGGTTAAGAAAATTCCCCATTTTGGCATCCGACGTGCTGTTTCGCGTGACGTAAGCACGGCTGCTGCCATTTCCATTCACATCTCGATGCGGTGTGGCTCCGGTCTCGTCGCAATTCTATATGCGATTGGCGTCAATGTGGTGCTCGATGATAATTTTTTCGATTGTACTGAAATGATGCGTGAGCACAGCAGCATTTCAGGCGCGAAACCGAACCCCTTACTGGCGGAGAGGTTTGACAAACCTTATCGTGTCGCGGTGTCTTTTAGTGAAATTGCGCAAGAAACGGTCTCCCGGAATGAGGTTTCTAAATTTCAAGAGGCGCCGACGCACAGGGAGCATTCTTGACACAATAATCGACACGGCCTCCTTGAGGTGTACATGTCGAGGGGGGAGACCACGCTCTGCATATCTGATCAATAGTGATATGATCATATCCTCCTCCACCTTAGTAAGGGTATCGAGGCGTGAGCGTGAAGCTCGCACAAACTGGTTTTCGGGATTTGCGGCTTGGACGCGGCTGCATATTGTGGACTTGGGAATTTTTGTGACGGAAGATGCGTGTCGATAGGTACTGCCATTGTACACAAGACCTGTAGCAGCTTGGATGCGCTTTTCACGTTTGTCTGAGGCCATGGCTTTCTCAGAGGTACTCGGTGGGAGCAAGTGGTGGACAAGTGAATATGCCGTGCAGCTGCTCAGTTTGGTCTTTCAAGGGTTTACTTCGCAATGAGCGGGAAAAGAAGGAGTTCAAAATTTGAACTGACCGCCCACCATGACGTAACGTATCCTGCAAAGCCGATTTGGCAGATTGGTTTTTAATTTTACCCGTTGGTTTTGGCGGTATTTGATGAGGGAGTGGAGGCGTTGGAGCCCAGACTGACCAGTGGCCCGCATTTTTACATATTTTTCCAATTTTTTTGCATGTCCGAACTCTTTGTCACTGTCCAAAAATTTGAGCACCCCCCCTTTACGGGGGGCGATGCTTTAAAAGGGCAATCGGAGGTGTTGTTTACGTGGTGGTCGATGGGTGTATATATTGCAGTTTCGCGCACTGAACGTCCAGCGATTTTGTGGGCAAATGAAAAAAACAGCGCGTTATTTTACGGACACCCTTTCTGTACCGAATGTATGAGCGGCGTTGTTTTCGGGCCTCTCCTCAGCATCTGTATCTTGTTGCAGTTCTACGTTCACATTCGTAGAGCAGCAATATTTGCCCTTACGGCTTTTTCAACGAAGTTGCGGATTATGCCACAGCTCACCTTCGGTTTACGAAGTAGAGAAATGTGGAAGACAAACTGAACTTTAGAGGAAGCTAAATTGAGAAGTGAGTGAAGAGATCTAGTTGATCAGCGAGCCATAGGCAAGCACACAGGAAAAGTATTCAAACCCCCGATGTTCTGTAGCGTCATAATTGAAAAACTTTCTGCAACTAACTCGAATTTGCACTAGAGAAATACGACGGAGCGAGGCAAAAAAGGGGCTATGCTATGAAGTCGAGAATTTTGAGATAACAGCTCTGTCCGTTTCACACGACTATTTGATACTTGTATCGAGACGGCGAGTTTTAGAGAACATCCTGGAGCTTAACGTTTTTCTTGAATTCGTACATATAACCGGCAACTTAGTGGGGCATGGGAACAGGGCCGTAAATCCTGAAATTAGAAGCACAGCTAGCCGAGGCCAGAATGCATGAGCTGCAATACTGCATTCCATCGCTTCCAAATGGCCCATCCGGCAAGCAGAGCTGAGGGCAAACGAATCCACAATCGGGGCCGGGGAACCCATCCGTTCTTGTCGCCCAACTGCCGCAAAACGCGATTTTACTGATACCATCAGGCACAGAACATATAGCACGAGCCCCTTTGGAAGAACAAAATCCTCGGGAGCACGTCGGAGGAACGCCATCGACCTCCTTGCATACTCCCTTATTCGGGTTGTCCACGGAAGGGTTGCCAAAGTCTTTGATAACACAGGTGAGGTCCAGTCCGCATGGAAGAAGAGGAGGTGGTAGGAAACCGCCCCCTGTTGAGCACGTGTCCCCGGGCTTCGGGCACTGGATACCAAATTGTTCACAACATGATGCGGCATCTTTACAGTGCGGCATTGCCGCAACTTTTGAAAGAACAGCCACGAAACAAACAAAGAACACGATTGCGGAGTGGTGACTATATGTCTTCATTTTGGAATTGCTTGATTCTTTCAGTCCAGATACTTCGGCACTGCATGAGTTAGACGAGCTTTGGCGTTTGGCGAAAGATGGAGCAGTCTTTTATAGACTTCCGCGCCCTATGAAATCTAACTGGTAAACTTCTGAAAACGACCATGCGGTGCGAGATTGCGAAACATATCTAGCTTTTGCTGGGAAGTGAGTGAAATATTGATGCTTTCAATGCTTTCTATAACAATGGGTTACTTGCCATAGTATTTCTAGCGAAAGTGGGCCTTTTCACACATTGGCTTTCGGCTAGAAATGACATCAAAGTGACCCTCGGCGCAGTTGATATGTGAAAACAGCAGCCATTATGAATTCTTGTTTCACATGAAGTCAGAGCATGTGCTCCAACAAAGCGGAAAAGAGCGACTAGTAGCTCGAAGTGTGTCGAGATCACAAAACTTCCAAAAATCGTGATTCTAGAAACATTTTCAACCCGCACAGTGGTATTCAAGACTGCCTGAGGCTTTAATTCTCGGAGTCAGTTGCGGAGAGAACAACCTGCAGCAGCCTTTTTTCCAGAAATTCTTATATGCTAGGAAGAAAATCCGTTTCTTGTATGGCGAAGTCAACAATAACTTTCGCAAGTGTGATCATTTATTCTCATCTTTGGTAATACCAACTCATGATGTGCATTGGTAATTGGATGGTTTTATTATTGAGTACAAAGCTTTGACCTTTGAATTGAGAGTCGATCACAGAGCAGCAATGTCCCAACTTGTACAGTACGAATGTGAGGTCGTTCCCACGTGATTGGTTGTGATGTTTCTATGTAAGCTTGTCTATTCACCAATTGTATTACGGTAGACCCATCTTGGTGTCGCACACCCCGGCCATTTTCCCAAGTAGTGCGATATTGACGTAGCGCAGAATCAAGAATTTAAAGTGCTCCACCATCAACGTCTATCGCTTCACCCTTTTGTTTCGTTTATGAAACACATCGAATAAAGCTCTTTTCGCTTTCCTGATGACATCGCAAACAACTGTTTTCTCTACATATGCCACATGCAGTTCCACTTCTTTGAAAGCACTTCATATCACAGAGGCTTCCTGGCTCAGCAGGGAAAGCCTCCCTACTTTACGAGAAAGAGGTAGTCTCTTGCGTGCTATTTTAAAACGCTGTTGCTTGAAGGAAGTCATGTTTTGCAGCCTTAGCTTCTGTTGGGGAAGGGAAAATGAAGGGTTTTCTCGTCGTACAGTAGTTTACCAAATCTTTAAAAATGATGACAAGTGTAGGTAGTCGTAACATGGAGAAATGGGGTGCGATATCTGCCGCAGTGCACTACCAAAAGGTGCGATATTGAGGCTACCCCCCGTACCAAAAAGTAAGTGAAACTGTAATTCAAAAGCCATGCGCAGATTGGTGTTGCTGGGTCTACCATTCGGTAGCTGCCATGTGGACACACTGGCTGCAACAGACTGAGATGAGGAAAGGCGGAATGCGCTCCATTTGTAACTGCGATGAGCCCCGGCAGGTGTGGATTCCCTCCACTGAAGGCGTGCCCAAACAGCGGCCACAGCTTTGCGAAAAAAAGGCATGTATCGACTTCAAGAAATGCAGCTGTAGCTGTAATTCAATGTCTGATAGGACCAAACAAGTGCCATGGCAGAGACGAGGGGGGTGAACCAGCTGCTTACTGCAATCACGGTCTGACTTCTATACGAAATTTTTTTTTAAAAAAAAAAGTGTGATGTACCTCACCCCAGACGATCTCCTCTCCAGTCATCCCAGCAGCTTCGGGCAGCGCCCATTCGCATCGGGACTTGCGCGTCTTACTTCGCTGCAAGAAACAACTCAACACGAGCGTTGCAAGACCTCCTTATCGTTCACGGCGAAGAAAGCTTAACTTCTCCTAGCTTGATCTTACCGACCTGTCATGGCTTTCGTCACCCCATCCGCCGCAATATCCGCAGTGGGGAGTACGAATTCATCCTTTTTACCTTCCCCTCATGCCTTGCACCATTTTTCTATTCCTGTTACCACCCAGTCATGCCGTCGCACCCCGCGCATGCACGACGGCCCGGCTCGCCCGCCTCCACCACCAGGCATGGTCAAAGGCAAGGACTTCATGAAGGACCAATCCGGCAATGTTGGCCTTGACATCAACTCCGGGGCGATCCAGCGGCGAGAGACTACACCGGTTCGGGTCGGTGACATTATAATTGGTGCGAGCAACCCCGTCGTCGTGCAAAGTATGATCAACGAAGATACTCTTGATATAGATGGCTCTTTCGCGAGCATCAAAGAAATGCACGAAGCTGGCTGCGAGATTGTTCGCATAACTTGCGTCTCCATGGCGCATGCACATGCGGTCGGTTTTATCAAGGAAAAACTGAGGAAGGAGTATATGGATGTCCCATTGGTTGCGGATGTCCATCACAATGGCCTGAAAATAGCACTGGAAGTCGCCAAGCATGTTGACAAGGTCCGGATCAATCCAGGCTTGTATGTGTTTGAAAAACCTGACCCAAGAAGAACAGAATATACGCCGAAGGAGTTCGATGCAGCTGAAGAGAAGTTGAGGAAGACCTTGGAACCTTTAATTATTTCTCTTCGCGATCAAGGAAAAGCATTGCGTATAGGCGTAAATCATGGTTCTCTGTCGGAAAGAATGCTCTTCACATACGGTGATACTCCGCGCGGCATGGTGGAAAGCGCTTTGGAGTGCATCCGCGTTTGTGAAGATCTCAACTTCCACAACATTGTCATTTCCATGAAAGCGAGCAAAGTCCTCGTAATGCTTGCAGCCTACAGGTTGCTCTCACGTCGCTTAGCAGAAGAAGACATGCCATATCCTTTACATCTTGGCGTTACGGAGGCTGGCGATGGGGAATACGGGCGGATTAAGAGCACCCTCGGTATTGGAACCCTTCTTGCCGAAGGACTCGGCGATACAATTCGTGTTTCCTTGACTGAGGCACCAATCAAGGAGATCCCAGTCTGTTACGGTATTTTGCAGGGTCTGGGTCTAAGAAGGACCATGGTGGAATACGTTGCATGCCCGTCATGTGGTCGAACTTTGTTCAATCTAGAAACGGTTTTGCACGAAGTGCGCGAGGCCACGAAGCACATGCCAGGCCTGAGTATTGCTGTCATGGGTTGTATTGTTAACGGACCTGGAGAAATGGCAGACGCAGACTATGGATATGTAGGAAAGACGCCTGGGAAGATCTCATTGTACCGCGGTCGGAAAGAAATTCGCACAGTTCGCGAGGAAGTTGGTGTCGAAGAGCTTGTATCTTTGCTGAAACAAGATGGAGTTTGGGTTGAGCCCGTGGAGGTGGTCAAGAGTCCTGTGACAGCTGCATAATGATTCAACTGTACCTAGTTTTCGACCCGGATACCGAGGTTTTGGCTGTCTTCAGAAGCCATACAAGGCGCCAATAACCTTCAAGGCGCCCAACAGTAATTACCTTGGCGCTCTACTGTTTGTGATATCTATTAACAGTGCTGTGCCCTCTGCAGTAGGTACCACTCCAGAAAAGAGTATTATTTGGTAAAAAGGGTTAATTTGGTGATTCAGTTCTCGTTGCTCCCACTGTACGAAAGCATGCCGCTGAGGTAAACTCAGTGCGGACAATGGGTACAGTCATTCATCCCTTGACTCCAGGGAAGCGCTCCGGGGAATGGAGCGTTCATCACGTCTACAGTTCCCCGCAATGTTGCCTCTTCGTCTTCGAAAAGCTGAAGGAAATTGTCAACAACGAAAAGTCCGCTTCACTTGCAATAAAAGGGGCAGAGATGCTCCTAAAATCTTTATAGCGTTAACAAGATTGTTATGAATGCAAGTGCTCCCAGACCACAAGGACCAATAGAAAAGAGTCACACGGGCAGAAAGAAACGATTCAGTTGGGGACGCCGGCAATTTATCGGACATTTGGCGATTTTATTACGCACAGGAAGCAGAAAAAATTTGAGGAGGATCGGCTACAGCGACAAAGGGCGGAGGGGAAGGCTGCCCGGCAAAAACAAAGAGAACCGCAGAAAGAACAGAAAGCAGAAGCGAAAAAGCTGAGGGAACAAAAAAGTCTGGAACGCATGAAAAGTGGCAAGGCCTCAAAGCCTGTCAACTCAACCAAGAAGCGGGCACGATCAACTTCGGTCCCAAAGGCGCACGAAGGCCCCTCCCCAACGTGCGTCAACTCCTCACCATTCCCCATCGACGTTGTCCCGTCCGCGTTACTTGGTCTCTCTGGTGCCAGTGAAATTACCAAATAGACCTTTTTCCAAAACTCTGTGTATTGCCGCACCAATAAAAGAAAATTCGGGGTTTCTCTGATCCAGTACGGCTAGTGTCTAAGCGTACAGGGGCCTCAGATGAGGCCGTAGTCCTCATATGAGGGCCCGCTTTCTATCTTCCGTAGCGCCCTAACGCGTACGTGAAACCACAACACGACCTCAAATATAGATTTCCCGCCCTTTTTCTGATCCTGACAGTCATACAGAAGGAGAAGGATCGCATACATGAGAAACATTTTTGTCACTCAGATACAGGTCCGTCTTGTTATTGGGAGCTTTTGGGGGAGAACCACAATGCTGGTGAGGTCAATTCTTCACTTCGGGACAGTGAACTCAAGTTTTGAGACCGTGGGACGAACCTCGAATGTTGTCTCTTTTCTTACATCTTGAGTAGAGGCGATTTACTCCTGCATTTTTCAGAATACTAAATGTTCTTTGATGCCCGGTAGTGTTAAGTGCGGTATTTTACCGTTACAGCCAATTTATCTCATTTTTATTTTCAAAAAAGTCGATTTTCAGGGCCTCAAATGAGGACCACCCGGGTCTCATATGAGGACAAATGTTGTACGCTTGGACACTAGAGATACTGTATCTCCTCCTGGTTAGATAGCAAACGCAGAGCATCCACCACCACCAGTCTGACCTCATTTGGGCACGGGGAAGTAGTTTTTAAGTTAATTTAAAAAAGATGTTACCAAATTATACTTTCCTGGAGTGGTAGACATGTAAAGGGGGGTTGCCGGTGTTGTCGGACAGTGACAAAAAGTTCGGACATGCAAAATATTTGTAAGAAACATCTTCGACACGGGCCAAAGTGCGGCACCGCCGCCTAACAGCGCCAGAAAGTGCGCTGTATCTCATAACGAAGTGAATGAAATTAAAAAACAAATATCCCAATCGATTGCTCACAGCGTTTTACGTATAGGAGTGTAACAGCTGGAGCACACAAAACAGCCGGACTTTTCAAATTCTCGTCCGGTATCCCTTCGACCGATTCCAACTCACTGTCAACTCAATTCACAGCATTCCGATATACACATAAACGCCAACTACTTCCAACTTCTATGCCTGCCCTTCTGGTCCACTTTTGGCATCTCGTGAATGAAAAATGCCGCCTGCTTCGCGTGAACAGCGCATTATGGCTGCAATGAAAATGGTCACAGATGGCCAAACCTACAAGCAAGCAGTAGAACGACACCAAATCCCCAGATCCACAATTGCAAGCGGCATACAAGCTGCCTCTCCCTCCTCGCAACGAATTCACAAAATCCGAGCTGGTCTCCGCACACTCACATCAGTTGAGGAAGACCTTGTGCTTAATCTCATAACTCGCTCTGCTGAGCGTGGACTACCTTTAACGCGGAGACTTGTCAAAGAAGCAATCGAAATTATCATAAGTCGTATGACTTCTGCACGTCGCCTCGTGCTCAAGTTTAAGGGAGGGACACCGGGAACAAGATATCTACGTAATTTTCATCGCCGCCACAGGGACAAGATACTGTTATCCAAGCCACTGAGGCAAGAAGCTGTTCGATTTCATGCATGTAACGGTGACGCTTTAACGACACATTTTGCTCGTCTTGAAAAAATTATTCAAGAGCACAACATTGACAGCCCAAGGATCTGGAACTGTGACGAAACAGGCGCAACACCCGGGCGAGATGCAAATGGAAAGCAGACTTCACGTGTATATGTCACCAGAGCGGGGGCGCGCGACGCCAAAATCGGACATTTTCTGAGCACAAACAGGGTGACAATGCTTCCAGCGGTGAGCGCAGACGGTGAAACAGTGCCACCGATGTTTGTATTTAAGGGCTCGCGGCTTCCATACCGTGTTTTGGTCCAAGACGGCATGAAAGCTGTGCAGACATACGCTGATTGCCTGCCCCGAGGGTCAATCGTACCAATGAGGTCCGAAAGCGGTGGCGTCGATACAAAACATTTCTTAGAATGGTGCAGACATTTTATCTCGAACGTGAGGGATCTGACCAAAGGTGGCCGTAAAGTGTTGCTGATACTGGATGGGTATCGGTCACACATGTCTCTTGCAGCTCTTGAGATGTTGGACTATAATGATGTTATCGTTTATGCACTACCCGCCCACACATCAGGCAAAACACAACCTTTGGACGTGACAATTTTTTCTCCTTTAAGGGTGCTTTGAACGACGCTATAAATTTTTGCCGTGGCAAAGGATGAACAAAACAACTGGGACACATTCGCATTTTGCAGCATGTTGAGGTACGCCTACAAAAAAGCGTTTACGAACAGTAATATTATATCTGCGTTTCGCCGTTCTGGTATATGGCCATTAGATGCGTATCAGCTTCTATCTATTCCACGCCCTCAGAGCCATATGCACCAGGTGATGATGTCAGTGACGGAGCTGTAGCAATTGCTGGAAGTGCGGCGAACAGAAATACGTCATTCAGTTTTGGGTTCTGATGTGAACCTGAGTCATAGTGGT